TCACAAGACCCTATCTCAAAAAACCCATCATGAAAAAGGAGCTAATGGAATGGCTCAAGTTGTAGGCCCAACACTCCTAAAAGAAAAGAAAAGAAAATAATGTACAATGGAAAATATATGAAACTCTTAGTTTGGAGGGATCAGAGATTATATAATACAAGTAGAGGAAAGAATCCTGAGGGTTTTTAAAACTTTTTTTCTCATTTTTCTTTTTTTTCCCCTTATCCTTAACAATCTTAAGGTTCAATGCTTACAGAGAATTAAGATTTGTGGATGCTTCTAGAAACATGGAATAATGACAAGAAGAACACGTCTACAGAAAAGAGTTAGTGGGATGCCAACAAGACAAGAAGGAGAGAGAGTTGCAATGCCTAAGAGGAAAAATAGTAATGCTGAGATCAAAGTATACAGAAGGAGGGAGGGTGGTAGGTGCTATGACATCCTTTCCATGAGGCAATAGGACAATAACCCTGGAATTGCTGAGTTAGCAGCAATGTCAGATTCAGTGCCAAATCACATGATAGAAAATGAACCAGATGGTGGTGGAGAAAAGCTAAGATCCAGTGAAGAGGCTAGCAATAAAGAAGCTAGCAGAATCTACACAACTTTCTGAGGTATCGGGGGCTCCCTCCCAGGCACCAAGAACATGGGGGGAACTAGGTGAACTAGGTCTATGGATCCAGGTACAGACTTTTTTACCTCTCATTGTAATCAGGCACTGCCCATTGAGAGCAACACCTTCCAAATGCAGCTGCTGTGTTTGGTTAGGAATCTGACAAATGGATTAACTGACATCTTGTTGATTTTTACAAGAAGATTGGGGCAACCTGCTAAGTAAATGGGAATTAGCCTCATGTCTCATGTGCACACCACTCACTCACTTTGGAAAACCTGGCAGCTCTGATAAAAAAGAACTCCATATAAAACTTGATAACTATTAACTTGGGAGAAATATGTGAATATTGACAATATCTGCTTAAGAGGAAAGAGTTCCTCAATTCATTGTACTTTAGCTGTAAATAATATTTAAGTTTACCATTCTGAGCTCGTTAACACATATTAATCCCTCCATACAACCGTGTCTGAGGCCAAAGACCCATTTACATCTAGCCTTTCAGTGCCAGCATCCATTAGCTACACCAACATCACCTGGTGTATCCATATGGTCCTAAGAATTGTTGTAGTACTCAGAACAAGAAAGAATACCAAAAAGAAAGCATCCTCAACTTAAAATTTGCTAAAATTGGCAAAGAGCTACTGAAGGTCCTATTCCTAATTATTAAAAAACAAAAACAATTTAATATAAACCTATTTCCAACATTTCTTACCCTTCATTTCCAGCATTACAACTGTATTTGAAAAACGATCTCTTACCCATTGTGGGTGACATACTGTGACAGTGAATCATGGAATCCTGACTTCCCTCTGGAAGCTCAAAGAGTTCAGTAATGTTCTGCCCAACAGTACTCCATGCTCTCTATTAAAACCAAAGAGGGAGTACTTCACCTAAATTTCACCAATTAAATTCTCCCCCAAGACCTTAAATACTGAGTAGAGGGCCTGGAGAATGAAGATTACAGGTCCAACCCCATTTATTTCAGCAATGGAGCAAGCTGCTGTAGCTAAGATCTTTTAAGGCTGCCCGTTCTTTCAGGTTTCCCTTTGATCATGAGAATAGCTTCCACCTCAATTTCTTTGAGTAAATCTATTTATGGCTTAAATAACCCAACTACAACACAAAAATCTCCACTTATAAAAACTGAAAAAATTTTTTCTCAATATGAAAAATGGTATTAGCATCATGGCTATTAATGATTGGCATATTTTAAAAGAGATTTTTGTAAGGGAGAAAAAGATTCCTAAAACCTAATTAAAAACTCAAATATATATTCTATGAAACAAATTATAAAAATACAAATATGATAATGAGTTGAGAAGAAAGGGGAACTGGTAGTATTTTTTAAAAATTACTTGACAAATAATACTATGGTAATTTTTTAAAAAAGCAGAAATTGTAAATGTCAGAAGGGATACCACTAAAAAATAAACAGTATGCATACAGCAATAGTCTTTAAATTCTTGATTGTGTATTATGTTAAACTGTTTTGGAAAATTTAGGTACCCCCTCGAACATTTTGAGCTTTATAACTAAAGCTTTTCATCAAAAATATCAATAAGCTTTGAAAATAAAAGAAAACATGAATCACCTTATAAGATGAATAAATAAAAAATGACTACAATTGAATAAATATTTCATGACATGATTTGATTTTAATAGTTTTAACTACTTTGTTGCATAAAATCTAGAAGTAATCGCATAACTTTTTTTTCTGGGGATTTTATAAAATATATCCTGAAATTTGGTGCTTAGGAAAAATACTCCAATTTCATATGAAAGAACCAGTTCCTAAACTGTCCTACCTTAGTTGTTCAAGTTCAGAACATTCCCACTCTGGCCAATCTTCTCCTATAATAAAAACACACACAGCAAATAAGGAAGGAGGTTAAACCAAGAACCAAGATGAAGGTATTAATCATTAACAAATTATCCTCCAGTCAATACTTGAAATGATCCCTTTGTTGACAACAAGCAAATATTTACACTTTAGGCATTGCAACAAAATAAGGTATGGATGGCTTTCTTTGTTAAAGTGGTGAGAAGAATGTGAATACAGGTACATTCTCTGGCAACTTTAGGAAAAAAGATGGAACTAACAGAAGTTGAGGAAGACCTTAGCAAGTGTGTGCCTCCATTACTGAGAAGCCCATAGGGGAACAAAGTAAAAGGTCTAATCCATTCTAGTTAATTTTTGTCAGTGTATTGAGAAATAAGGAAAATTTCTCTCTTTTTGTGAAATCATGTACTATTGGTATCCCAGGACCCCTTCTTAGATACTCTCTATCTAGTTATGACTCCTACATTTGCCCAAGGGGAATCACTAATTGAATTTTAACAGGATAGGTTAGTTTTGTCTGTAAAGTCTCTATACACCTTTAAAAGAATGTAGTTTTGTCTTCTTTCATTCAATAGCTAGCCTCGGGTCCTTCCGCCCGCCCCAAGAATGCCAGGGACCTAACAGTATTTGTGAGAGACATCCATGGGTTTGGGTGTTGGGTCTGTTAATTTCCATTGCTGTTTGAATAGACCATAATTTATTTACTTTTTATTCCCTTAACAGGCAAAATAGTTGTTTCCTGTTGGGCTAGTACAGGTAGTACTCCTATGAACACTGTTGTGCATTTTTATGTATATATGCATTTCTTAGTGAAGTGTTTGAGTCATTGAAATTGCACATTTAGCTATATAGGAGGCATTATTAAGCAGCTTTTCAAAGTTTTAATTTATACTTGTATTCATAGTGTATAAAAGTTTCACAGCCTTGCCAACATTTGCTATTTTCCATCTTCTTTCATTTTATCCATTCTTTTAAGCATGTAGTGGTACCACATTGTGCTTTTTATTTAATTTTTAAATGACAAATGAAGTTGAGTTCATTTTTTTATATTTATGGGCCACTTAGAATTTCTTTTTTTTTTTTAAGCCCCAAGTCATTAACCTATTTTTCTACCTATGGATTGCCTGCTACTTTCTTTTCTTTTCTTCCTTTATTTTTCTTTCTACTCTTTTCTTTTTCCTCCCTCCCTAAGAAAAAGTATCTCTCTCTCCCCTTTCTTCCTTCCTTCTTTCTCTGTCTCTCTCTCTCTCCTTCCTTCCTATCTTCCTTCCTTCCTTCCTTTTCTTTTTTCTGTATATAATACATTATGCTACCTCTCCTTTTCCTTCTTCTTTTAGTTTTCTATAGGGTAGAAACTATGTGTTCTCATCTTATCATCCTCAAGTCCTGGCACTCTGTTTTCTTTAAAACCTCTGCTCAAGATTACCTATTGATTCTAGCCCTCACCTGAACCCAAACCCATTAAAAAAATTCTCTTCTCCTGCTAAATTAGTCCAAGGTTCTAGTCCTTTTGGTTCTACTAAGATTCTAAATATGGTGGGAACTTCTTCCCTAAGAAAGCTGAGGCAAAACTACAATCAGCTGTGTGTGTGGATAACCTAGAGGATATGTTTTATGTTTTAGGAGACAAAATCAGTTCCTATTGGGGTTGATGATGACTATTTGGGAAAATATGAAGATGGTCAGTGATATTTTTCCACTCTAAAAATGAACTTTTCTTTTATGTGATGCCTTTCTTTGCCTTGCTTCACTTTGTTATATCTTTAATACTTTTCTCCCTAGTATAAATTGTCATTTCATTTGAAAGTGCCTCGGTCATCTCCCTCTACTTTTCATTATATGGTCTAAACTATCTTATTGTCCCTTCTGGATGTGCCCATGTTGTCTCACAGTACAAGCTTTCCAGTTCTGTCATCTCTCTCCCTGAATTATAGTTAACTTTATTCAATTAATCTTCCCACAGGACATTTTCTGTTCTTTAGTATCCTACATTTAGCTAGGATAAGCAAATATATATTTTATCTGATGTAAATAATCCTAATGTAAATAAATAAGAAAGGACTTATCTAATTTTAGTATGTGAATTTAAATAGAATTTAACCATATAAATAACTACCCATATTTCATAGACTATAAAAAAATAAAAATATTAATTCTGTGGATTACAGGTTTAAAATTTTGTCTTATAATGAGTTCTGTAGCATATGACTACAGTTCTCAGCAGATCTCTGTGTTTATAACCAAGCCCAAGAAGGTATTTATCAATAATTATTTTCACATAGATTTTTATTCTTATTTTCCAAAGAGGAAAACCCAAAGGCAATAGTAATTGATTTCAAATTTGTATAGTAATTGATTTCAAATTTGTATAGCAATTGTCAACTATGGCTGCATGTTAGAAACTCTTTGGGAGTCTAAAATTAATGGATCTGGGTTCCATCCCAGACTAATTCACTCAGAATCTCTGGAGTGGGGCCCAGGCATCCACAGATTTTTTTATGCTTCCTCAGAAAATCTAACATATTTTGAGTTGAGAACGACAGTGTCTATGGTCCACAATATGAACAAAGAATGTTAATAAGCAAAAATGTTAATAAGTTAAGGTCAGTACTACATTTAAGTTTGTGACTCTCCAGTCTCAGAGGTGCGTGATAGTCCTTTCTTTAGCCCAGTTCTGGATTTCTGCTTGTCCAAATGTGAGGTAAAAGATCAGACCAAACATGTTGACAGCAGCAGACAGGAAAAATACATTTCTCCAGCCAGACTCAGAATCCTGAACACAAAAAATCACAAAAATTATTACTATCAGAAGTTCCTTCTCCCCCAATTATAGAAACCTTCTATTTTGTATATTTCAATGCTGATCACAAAGAATGTAGGGAGCAATATGCAATAGTAACTTAACATCCCTATGTCATCAAAGAAGATTCATGTAACTATTGGAAACAAAATGACTCTAAAATGTACATTAGGTTCTGAGTTGGGATAGCTATTTCTTCAAATAAAAATAAATTAAAGTACACTAATGTTTTTCTATAAATTTAGATTTCAATATTCAACAAAATAGAATATTATCTGCTCTTATGCCTAAAATGACATCATTAAGATCTCATGTTTGTGTCCTTCCTATTTTGTTTTAATCTTGGCTGTTGACATCAATCAATGTAACTCCTTAGATGACCATCTCAATACAACAGGAGTAATATTTGTTCTTCCTGAGCTACCTTCCTCAGCAGGCCTTATCATAGTTCATTTCTAGTATTATAGTCACAGTAGATTACTAGAAATTTGGTTAAAAATTAATCTGGAAACTAGGACACATAGACATATATTAAAAACAAAAAAACTTTGCCTTGCAAGTTGACTTATCAGTTCTTCCATCCCAGCCTGGTTTTGCCTTTTCATCTTCCTCAGCATCCCACACTTCCAGACACTGGGCAAGCCTCATAGCCCATGATCCCTGCCATTTCCCACAGCCATTCTCTTTTCATCTACCTTTTAATCTCTCTTGAAACTGTCCTTGGGAAACTTTGTTTTCTCCTTTGTGATTTTCTGTAAAGATTAGAATTAATCTGAATAGAATTTTCATAACATTCTTCATCTTTTCTGTACTCATCTACTTAACTACTACTTAACATGTATCATTTACTCTGGGCATATCTAAGAACTCTCTCATGCTTTTTACCCCTTGGAAACCATACATACTGTCTTCTATAGCCAAAGAGCTTATTTTCATAAATTATCTATTCATTTTGAGAAATCCAGCTTTTATTTTTCTTGCCCTGGGAAATGGGCCTACCAGAGTCTGATTTAGAGACTTGCGTGAATAGAGTAATTGAGTTGACATCCATCTGCTTCCCCCATCAGACCGTACCATCTTTGAGAGCACAGTGTATATCTTCAATGCCTAAAACAATACCTGCCACTTGCAGATGTTCAATAACATGCCCAACCTGACTGATAAGGAATCCGGTGGTAGTAGAAGAGATGATTCCTGCAATAAGCCCGAATCCCCTTGAGATTCCCATGAGGAAACTTGCATATCTGTGGAGAAGATGATTTTAAGTAGAAAGCTTTAATGAGAGTCATTTCTAATGGCAAAGCCACTTGCTTAGTGCAGTTTTTCATTCCTCTAAAGACATTCAGGGAGATGTTTATTTGCCAACCCTGAAACCACTTCTCTAATGAGTCAATAACCAGAATAAGCAGAGAGAACTAGTCTCTGTGGGAATCAAGTTTTTCCACCCCACTGCCCAAAGTAGGAGGTAGTTTACACAACAGGCAGGATGAAGAGTCTGAAGCCAAACTATGCAGGTCCAAACACTGTCTCTGCCTTTGTGCGACCATGGTCATACGACTTAACCCCTTTGTTCCTCTGTCTTCTCCTACTTTCGGGGATAATTATAGGATCCACCTAATGTAGTTGTGATGATTAAGTGTGTTGATTTATGAGATGTTTTAGCAGAGGGGTTTTACTCATGGTAAGAACAAATTTATGTGGTAACTAATATGATGAACCCTTTGGAAACTTATAAAAAATAGTCTATGGACTTTCCCCAAAACACACAGACTAATCTCTGTCAGGAAAGTTTGAGAAACTTTTTATCTAAATGACTACTAGCCAGGAATGGGGACTGTTGTTCTAAAACTGGCACATAAGGTCATGGCCATGAACTGACATTTCTAGTTAATTGTCATTTTGCCATCATGTAACATGAAGGTTTTCACGATGATGACTGAGGTCTAACACCTCTGGAGTGGTCTGGAGGAGAGAAAAACCAGGTAAAGCCCTTACCTGGGGGCAACATCAAGGGTGTTGATGATAAACCCTGAGTCACACAGGTTGCTGGTCCCAGGAATAAGTATCAGCAAAATAATGGTTGCCATGTAACTGGAAGTCACGAAGGGCAAGGCCACAGCACATAGTGATGGAAGCAGTAGCCCTGGGTAATAAGGACATACTGTCAGGAACCCTCTCAGACCACACTGATTAAGTGAACACACATACACCTATCCTTACCAAGGAATGAGAAGAGTTTTCGAACGGCAATTAAGCTGAGAAGATTCCTGGACAGGAAGAAATCTGCTAATTGACCTCCTAAAATTGTACAGCTTGAGGCAGCAATAAAAGGCAGGGAGGACAGAACCCCACTCTGAAGGAAGGAAAGTAATACAGAATATTACAGATATGCATATAGAACCAACATTTACCAGTTACACAGACCAACAGTTCACCTACTCTTCAATATTCAGAGTTGTTTGAGGGAAACTAACATCCTTTGACACACTGGAAGAACATTGTGTCAGGTAAGAGAACCAGCACCTGCATCATGCTGGTCTCCAGAAAAATGTTATATTAATTTCTGAGAGAAACTTTAGAATCAGCTGGTGTGGCAATATGCCATAGTAGTTACGGACACAGATGTTGCAATAGCTCTATCACTTAGTTGCATAACCCAAGACAAATTATCTCACCTCTACATGTCCCATTTCTACATCTATGAAATGGGTATCATTTCAGTGTCTCTCTCATGGTCGTTGAGAAGGTTAAATGGTTATATACAATGTTGGAATATAATAGGCAGCACAGGGCTATTGTTATTGCTACTTTCATAGAAATATAGGAAGTATACTCACATCTCTGATGTTAACATGGAGCACAGTACTGATGTATGTTGGTAGATATGTTATGATTATGGTGCATAACCAGAAATGGCTGAAAAATCCCACGAAAATGGCCCAAAGTGGTAGGCATCTGACCATGGCCTTTATGGGGACAGATCGTCTAGGAGAACTGGACTGAAAGGAAATATCTAATCAACAAAGGTATTAGGATAAGACTCTCCCAGAAGATGCATATCCTGCTCTGAAGACCTCTGCATGGTCTACAGGTAGAAGGGTTGGGCGCACTCTTACCTGTTGAGTCAGTGAAGATATGATGTATTCCTTTTCCCTGACACTTATGCATGGGTGATGCAGGGGATCATCATAAATTACTGTGAACCACAGGAGACAACAGACACAGCCAATGCTACCTGGGAAGAAGGGACAAAATTAGTTTTCATATAGAGTTGTATATTTGGGGGGGTTCCTTTGAAGTGTCATACATTTCTCTACCACACATATCAAACCATAATTATTCTACCATAATGACCTAAAATTTCCTGTTTCTTCCTTTATGTTCTATAAATCTCCTTCTTCCATTGGAGCTTTTCAGGTACCATCTCTCAAATGTAGAGTTGTGTATTTGTCAATGTCAGTGCCTCTGGAGATAATATGAGCATGAACATACCATTTCATAGCTGATTAGTTACCCTTAAGACTCCAGTGTTTATCATGTTAGGTGATTTTAACAGTAACTTCTTAATAACACACATTATTGTTTTGATTTGGAAGGTCTGGATAGTCAGGACTGAAGACACAGAGTAATTATACATATATGAAATAACCTGCCCTGAAGTCAATGTGTTAAGGAAAATTTTCCTATACATTTGAAAGACAGTAGTATTTGTATTCAAACCACAGATCCATTATGGCTTCTCAGAAGTAATATTTTTTGAGTATACCTGGTTAACATGTGTTAAACAAAATGGCTTGGATTTGCATCTTTAGTGAGAAAGCCATCTAAGACAGGAACCATATTTAATGACACCATTTGGTTATAACAAAAGAACAATCTATATGTTAAAAGATTTGGGACTACTATTCTTTAAATTCCTTGTTTTGCTGGATTCATCTGTTCTTTTTGGGTTTTTTTCCTTTTGTGGAAATGGTAAAAAAACATTTATTTGATATACTAGACATGAACAGAGCTAAGCAATCCTTTTTCACTGCAACATAGCAACAGCAAAAAATTATCCCTTCAAAACAGTATATGATTTAAATGTACCCCACACAAGGGCATGTCATATAAATCACGGTAAAGCTGTCACTACCCTGCCAATACTTCCACTCCCTACCTAGGTCATATTGAAATACTGGTGGTCCCTACAGTTTTATTGAGTTTAAAAAGAAAGAAAGAAAGAAAGAAAGAAGAAAGAAAGAAAGAAAGAAAGAAAGAAAGAAAAATTATTTAAAAAGACAAAAATGCCTTACTAACCATATATCCAACTCAAAACTTAACCTACTTAAATGACTTTTGTTTGCTTCCCACTAATAAACCTTTATTTCACTAGAGCAATAAATCTTCCTTGCCTGATAATTCAAAGAAAAAAATCCAATATAATTAGCAAATAATATGGAGAAATTAATACCCTTTCAATTGTTTTAAATGTTTTCAAGGTTTAAGAAGTATTTAAAGTTTGTAATTCTTAGTAGGAAAGCATTATTTGAATGAATACCCTAATGACAAACCACTGTATGTACAATGCTTCAGCAGCATTTGGTGCAGAGGGGAAGGGATTATCTTTAAAGCACCCCAGCTCTCACAATGAGGCCAAAGGTACACTGGTTTGCATTATTGCGACATCCATTAAGTGACCTAGGTTGCTTTTCCTTCAGCAAGGATTTTGTCAGATTGGCTTTATGCTTGACCTCCAAATTTGACTGACAATTTACTGATGAGATTCATAACCTTTGGGTTGCTCTGATATTTTGGCACATTTGCTGAGTTCTGGGCCACATCCTAGAAGGCCACCATAACTTGGATCCTGCATGGCTTCAAGAACCTGTGGATGACTAAGAATTTCATTGAGTCCAGGCATTCCTGCTACTCCAGGCATGCCCTGTCCCATTCCAGGAATTCCTCTGGGAAAATTCCCAGGCACCTCCCATCCCCAATCCCTGGGAAATCCTCCTGGAAAAGAGCCATATTGAGCTCCTGATTGTCCTCTAGCTTCTTCCTTCCTCTGGGCTCTTGCATGCTCTTCTTGAGCCTTCTTAACCCTTTCAATTTGTTCTTTAATCTCTGGCTCTTCAGGTTTTTGCTTGTATTTTCTCCAATGCTCAACAATATTCTGGGCCCTCAGTTGAACTTCTTTCAGCAGAGCCCTAGCATCCTCATCATAATCCAGTTACAGGCCAGGGCAAAACCATGGGCTGCTGCTTTCCAATGGCCCAGAAGTCTGTGCTTATGAGGCTCAGCTGAATCAGGATTTATTTCAATTGCTCTGTCACAGTCTCAAATGGCAGCATTTGGATCTGAAATGTGATGAATACAGTGGCTCTCTGGGGGTAGAGAATGGCCAAGCAAGGATTTAGCTTGATGGCATCTGTGAACAAGTCAATGGCTTTCTGTAATTCACCACCATTTAGGTCTTCAAAGGCAGCCCCTTTCTTATCATTTACTTGATCCATCATCTCCTTGGTTATCTCTACATTTTCATCTCCCATTTCTTGGGGCCATCAGTGTGTGGTTCAATTACACCTTCATGGTCCATTTCTACATCACTTTCCTCACTTGATGGCTTGTCTGCCTTTATGTTTTCCTCCATCTTCTCACTGTCTGTTTTTTCTTCCCTGATGTTTTCTTCTGATTTAGTTTTATGAGTAGCAGCACCCATGCTCTCTACCTACTCCCTCAAGAAGCACATCTCCTCGGTGTACAGGATGCTTGGATCCTGTTTACACATTTTCACAAAGGCCCAAAACTCACTCACTTTGTGGAGTCCATGGTTGGGAGGCGGTAGGCTGCAGCAGAATCCCAGGACCCAACGCTGGCTCAGCGTGACTGTGTAGAAGAGGGCAGCTGCCATGAGGCCGAACACACTAGAACCCATTCTTTTATTTTAAAGCTAATATCACATAGTATTATACCACTGAAGTGATTTCACAAACCATTATATAATGGATTCCTTGCTTCAAGCATTTCATAGTTTAGTGGGGAGATGAAAAGGAGAAATACATGATAATCTAGTAAGAAAGTATCTAAGTAAGAATCGTGGAAGAGAGAATGGCTGAATCTAATGAGATAAATCCTGGAAGGTCCCATGGAGAAGATGCCATCCTCAACATTCTTCATAATTTTCCTTTTAACAAAGGATATTTTAATTTGTACAAAAACAGTGTGGGTGATGTGTGTAGCAAAACAAACGTTCAGAAATAGAGATGTTAGTATTTAAGAGAAAGTGACTCACCAAAGATATAGAAGATAAAAGGCCAGCCTAATGCTTGTGAGATTAATCCCCCAACACAGAGGATGATGAAGGAACCAAATGCTGCCCCTAAAGAGAAGAAAGAAAAATACTTATGATAATAGCAAAGGTTGAGACTGTATGCCCTCCCTGGACATAGTCTCAACAGTGAGATGACAGACTGGGAATTACTAGGTGATGAGAATGCTTATTCCTGCTCACAAATCACCCCCCAGTAATTAGCATTAATAAATACTAGTGATATGCCCCCTAACTCTTCATTAAAAGAGTTCATTAACTTCATTAACTAAATACCAATGTGACCAACTCTGAATCTTTAAATTTGTTGTAAAAATTCTCTGCAATCACAGCTTACCAGTATGTTCTTACGGCATGATGCAATATGAGGTTGGGTGCAGAAAAAGTAAAGGCTTGCAAAAATTCAGGAGCCTTTGGTCCAGTTGTAGCAAAAAATGTGAACAAAATTCACTATTACCAGTATAACACAATGCAGACTTTGGAGTCCACATTTTTAAAAAAACAACATATTTTACAGAGACTCTCAGTAAAAAATATATTTTATGGCAACACAGAACAAATATGCACAAACACATGTACACACAACCACACACATGTCGCAAATAGAAGTTTCATGAACCAATAGTTAACTTTATCATGTGCAAAGCATTACAAGATTTTTCTATTCTATTCATTTTTACTTTTCAAATACTAGTTTTTGACCCACTAAATTAATTTTATGACCCACTTATGGGTCCTAATCTATAACTTGAAAAATTTATGTAGAATATAAATATGATAATAAAACTATAATTATCTATGGAAGTACATACAGATTAAATTATAGCAATTATAAGATTAAAGAATCATTTATATGAGTTAATCAGCAAAACAGCTAGAATTCTGGCAAAAAAACAGGGACAGAGAAATTTTTAGCAATATGAACCATAGGAGGAGAACCAGAGAGAAGTGCAGATGTGTGTAACTGATGCAACCAGAGTCTTGCCTGCAGAGGAGAGTTGAGTGGAAAGCAGGTTGGGACAAGATGTCAAAGCATCTTTATACCCAGGCAATAAAGAGGTCAGTCTTAAAGTCTGTAGCCAATAAAGGTACACAATGAAGACTGAAGCACGTAAGCAAAAATGCCCATCTGTACTTTAAGAGATAAATTGGCTTTGATGGGAAGAGAAGGCTGGAAGAAACCAAGTTAGAGAAGGACAAGTTGGACAATATTTGGAAATATAGAAGGTTGTATAATGGTGATAGAAAGAGGCAGAAAGCAAGAGGGTTGCTTTGGGGTAAAAGACTGCAGGACGTGACCATGTGTTAGACATAGGAGTGAGAAGTTTGATAGAACCTCAGTTCTGTTTTTCAAGTATATACTCTGAGGCCTACAGGCTGTTCCTGCTCACAAATCTCCTGTAGTAATACCATGTTAAGTAATTAGCATTAATAAACAATGGCTCCTCTCTACCAATGTGACCAAATCTAAATCCCTTAGTGTACTTAAACACTCTGCAATCACAGTTACTACTATGTATTTAGGTAATGATGACACTGTAGAGGCTTTGGTAAGATCACAGACCATGGAGGGTCTTTCTGTACCATGACTAAGAATGTGCGCTCTGCCACCAAGCCAGCTGTGTTCAACTCTCAGTTCTACCACTACTAGCTATTTGTGTTTGGGTCATTTACTTAATCTCTACATACTTTAACTCCCCTCTTTGGAAAATGAAAGTTGCAAAATAGTAATTACATTAGATAGTTGTTGTGAGGATTAAGTAGCTCAAAACTGTAAAGTCAGAATCTTGCCAGCACCTGACACTCTCCTTATCATCTGCATTCCGATAATCTTATTGTCCCCCTCAGTATCTTTGCTAAAATGGTGTTGGCAAGTTCACTTGATCTTTTTCCATCTATACAATTCTTGAAGTTCTAACTTTTTCCTACAAGGCTGTTTTGACTATCCAACTCATAATGGTCTTTTCTGTTTTTGAGCCTCAGGGTCTTTACAATATAGATGCTTTTTATTTTTTAACCCTCTTGTATTGTTGAATTTTTCTGTAGCACTTTCTCCTCTCTTCCTCAAACTATGTGATTCATAGAAGGAGAGGCATGATGGGATACAACAGATTAAAAAGCTGTGACACCTGTATATATCCTTACCTGATCCTGCAATGCTGGTGAGCTTGCTTCTTTCAAGTGGAGGAGCCCATTTTGCCCAAACTGTAAACTGACCTGTCCATGCCATTCCCTGCAATGGAAATCGCTAAGACATTTACTCTTTTGCAGAATTTGGGAATCTATACCCCACTCAAAATGAGAAAGTATCTGGATACCTGGGCCATGCCCTGGACAGTCCGAATCACAATGACCAAAATCACTCCCAAGTCAGCAGCCAATGGTGTAAAAAGAGTGAGAAGAGAAGAAATCAGCAAACCAGCACCAAGGATCTGCTTTGCGCCAAATATCCCTGCTAAATATCCACTTGGGATCAGAGTCAGTATTATTCCATAGCTGATGGAGCTAAAGATGATACCCTGAGTTTCTGGGCTCCACTGATATACAGAGGTCTGGAAAAGAAGAAGAGAAGAACAAAAACTCTTTGCTAAGAAGTCTTATTGTGAAAATCTACTTTATAATCAGAATTGCTTGAGGTTGATGAGCCCCCACTATAAAATATCTATTTTAGCTTTTTCCTATTTTTTGCTTAACTTAGACCTAAGTTTACCTCCCTCCTCAAAAAAAAAACCCAAACAATTCTACCTATAATTTGCTTCTCTGAGAAGGGGAGGAAAACAGGAAATAAAAGAGATAAAGATAAATGATTACGTAGATGGACAATAGGAAGCAGTAAAAGGAAAAAGAGCCATTTTTAAAGAGCTTCCTTTAATTATTTTGTAAAAGTTGAATGACATTGACACTTACTTTAAAGAATAAGATAAACACAGCTTTATTAAACTCATCAAAATCAACCCCTGATTAAAAAGAAAAATCAAGTTTAAGAATTATGGTCTGCTTTGGCAGAACCAACTTCTTAAAATAATGTGCTAAAAATGAGTAAGACATGGTGTTAGTGGTTCCTGCTTGTAATCTTAGCTACTTGGGAGGCTGACATCAGTAGGATCTCAGTTCAAGGCCAAACTGGGCCAATAGATCATGCGACCCCATCTTCAAAATAACCAGAGTAAAATGGACTAGACTATGGCTCAAGCAATAGGGTGCCTACTTTGCAAGTGCAAAGCTGAGTTCAAACCAGAATCCCAACAAAGGAAGACAGTAAGATCACATTTTTCTTCTGACACAGCTCAATAATTAAATTTGGTGGTCCTCTACATATATGGCATCATGTTACAAATTAAATAACCAAAGAAATATTTTATCCACTTAAAAAACTGTAATTAATGCAAAGTATATGATTCATATTAGAATTTATATTTGAGGCTTATCATAGAATAGGGACTTTGACAAAGGGAATTAAAATTTGGGAAGGTCCCAGAAAGGAGGCATATTAGAACCATCCTTTGAAGAGTGTATGAACTGAACAAGGAAAATTCATTCTCATATGGATTAAACAGCAAAAATGGAGTTGCAGCATTTGGGATGATACCAAACAATCAGAAAGTAACAGTGACTGGCTGGCTCAGAGAAAAGACTTTCCCTAGGCCATTGATGGATAGGAGTGAGCTGAAAAAGTAGGGCCGGATTCTGGATTCTGAAGAAGCACAGCACATGTTTGTTCATGTTGAGAGAACATGGTGTGCTTGACAACTTGAAGGTGCTCTAAATTCCTGAGCAAGGGAGTATGAATGTGTAGATAAGGTAGGCCCAATGTAATGTAATCATGAGTTACAGATTATAGCGATGACATTAAAAAGGTACAGTAAATGATTCATAGTATAAAGAATAGTTTAAAAATAAGATATCATCATGACTATAACACAAATGTAAAATATACAGTTGATGAGGATACTTTTTAACTGATTAATGATACTTTTTAACTCACTGATTAATGAGAGAATAAGATGTCACAACCAATTCAAAGGAGAATTCAAAGAATCACATATACAGAACCTGGAAGCAATGCTGAAAGGGATTTTAAACAGATGGTAAAGTTGGTTTAAGTCAACTGGCCTGGGAAAAGTGGTGAGTAGAGAAGAGTATCAATTGATAATCTACAAGACAGAATTCGTTTGCAAAACTGCAGACAAGAATTGTTTGCATTCCTGTTCATTATAAAGAATTTATAGAGTTATAAAATGGCTCAAAAATAATGAAAGTTGCAGGGCCCAAATCGAATTGGGTAACCCAGAAGGGTACCCCTAGTTTTTTACTAAAAACACGCAATACT